CCCCCCTAACATTTTATAGAACCTGAATTTTGGATGCTTTATAAACCCTAGAAGTTTGTTTTACTGTGTCTTATTGTCTCAAATTTATGAGGAATTAGGCACTGAAAACAGTAAATGGGATAGTAGAAACTTATCCTTAATCAAACTTCCTCCGATTTTATCAATACCAATGCAAATATTGTCTTGCTTCATCAGCCTCTAGAATAGGGGTATTCAAAACCAAACCTAAATCGAAAACCGAACCTAAACCGAATTATCCATATTATCGGTTTAGCTATTATCGGGCGGTTATCCATATTACTGCTCTGGACAATTGTACGAAGTGCAAAGTGAATTGTACTGATTGCTTGAAAGTATCTAATTGGCCATTGAGTCTCTTTGACGCGTGTATCTAAATCCTAGTGTCTTCCCCACTGGAGACCAATAATCAGTATTAAACTATTAACATTTACACTTTATACATTAGGTTCAATCTCAACCAAGTTTTTTTTAACAGTTTGTCATCTTCTTAAGCAGTAAGAAATCTGTTCAAATGATACTGTTGATGTATTCTGTTGTGCACTTCTCAATCCCTTACCATCCACTAGAATGTACTATGAGAAGATAAAAGAAGTATTTGATTCTAGTAATATGGCCTCATGGTCAGGGATGGCAATTGGGGCGGGGCGAGGCGGGGCAGGGAAAACTCTTAATGGGGCAGGGCAGGGCAAAATCTAAATGGCGTGGGGCAGGGCAAAAGTTTATTTTTAAAAAATCTTAATAGGGCAGGGCAGTGTAGGGGCAAATTCCAAGTTAATAACTAGATCAGATTATTTTTGTTCCTTTTTCCCAATTCCTACTTTGAATATACGCATTATAATGCGTTTCATTTCATGTATAAGTTCAACAGCTGTAGAGTTCACCTTTCCAATTGTTTTCCACTAATTATTAAAAAATATTTAATTATCTTCCAGAAAGAAGTTAAGTGACTGATGTTTATAATTAAAATTTGTTCCAGATAAAATGACTAGGATGAACTCTTTAAATGCCAAAATCGTTGATCTCCTCCAAACTGAAAGGAAATTTGTCATTATTTGATTTTCTTATAATACAAACTATTTCATTAATTTGATTTGTATTCTCCAATATATATTTCATCAAAATGTGCATAGTTTTACTCACGAATGTTTTAATTTTTTCACTCTCACTATATTTCAAATATATCATAATAAATATATGAGAAAATCTTCTTTTGATTTCCTTTTGCTCTAATAATCCTACATTTTCTGTAAAATCATATGCTTAAACAAATTAAATAGAATATTACAAAATAAAAAAATGAAGAAGAGTCTAAACGGGGCAGGGCGGGGCGGGGCGGGGCAAAATGTGGAAAAATGCTAAATAGGGCAGGGCGGGACGGGTTAAAAACTTAGTAGGCCAAAGCTTGCCCTGCCCTGCCCTACCTTGCCCTATCCCGATTGACATCCCTACTCATGGTGTAATTTAGTTGATATATATGCATGAGAAATGTTGACTATATTGTTGTCTCGGGGATGTACTCCCCAACACCGTGTTGAAGTATGTTAAGTTTCAATCAACTGAAACTAAATCGATAACCGCCCGATAATACCTAAATTGATACAAATCCGCCTGATATCTTATCGAGTGGCTAACAGATTAATACATTTAAAAACGGATAAACGATAAGCCAAACCGTTAAGAGTAAATAACCGTCAAATCCGCCCGATAAGCAACCCTACTCTAGAAGGTTGCTGCCAAGACACAACAATAGTAATGACCGAAAAGGAACATATCATGGCTGTGTTACAGAGATTTTTGAAGAAGATTTCACGTAATAATTTAAACAAGTTATTATGTCAATAAGATGTAATTATTTTTTGATTTCTGTTAATAACTACGCGAAGCGCGGACCGTTACACTAGTCACTTACTATAATTGAATGAACAATTTACTACTCGATAATTAGATTAACCGAACGTATTGAAAAAATAAAAAGCTGTAATTGAACATAGTTAAGTTGCAAATATAAGATTTTAATATATAAAATTACATTTAGTGGTATAACATAGGCAGTGTGGTCCCAGAAATGGAGTTTAAAGGTAATGAATATACATGCAGACCATACCCCTATATTACGAAGATAGAGAGACTCTTTCTGGTAGACACTTGGCTCAAGAATATGTGATTCTTCTTTGAGTCTAATTTTAATGCATTGTGTGTATAGTCTTTAAAAATTTATCAGAACACCTCATAAAAAATGAGATTTGTAACTTAAATAATACTGTATATATTAGTTGCTACAACATTGAAAAATATTTTTTTTTTCCTTTGAAAACCAAAAACAAGAAGTATCATAAGATTAGGTGTAATAAATACCATCATTCCATTTCTTTTCACCCATCCACATGAGTATCCACAAGTGAATTGAAGTGCAAAATTTTGAGAAAAATGTTAAAACAGAAAAAGCTTACCTAATGGCAAAAGATAGTGAATTTCGGAATAAACTAGTAAACTATTGTCCTTGTTCCTACGCTCCATTCACGAGCCTTATTAATTTATGTAATTAAAGACCAAAATTTTATCTTTCCTACCAATTAATTCATAATTGCCCACCTCATTTCTCAATGAACAAGAACACAAGTGAAATATTCAAGAAAAAGTAAACCATTTTCTATTAATTTTTTCTGTCTATTATTCTGAGAAAGTATCTTGGTTTTGGCATTCAAATGGAAAGTTAAAGCACAAAGAACAAAAAGAAAAGCTTCTACTACTACTACTACTACAGATTCTGACTAACAGCTTGCTTTTATTTAAAATTACTCCCTTTTGACCCTAAATTCTAACTCTCCTTATTTCAAACCTTGTGACCTCCATTTTTTTAATCCCTTTTTTCAGAACCCCACATTGCTTTTGCCAGACACCATTCTTGGGAATTTGACTCTTTTTCTCACTTTCTTCACTCCTATATATATACACATGCATTCTCATTTTGTTGTCAGTGTGCATTTCTTTTTTCTTTTTTTTTTCTTTTTCACTTTAAGCTTGTGCTAAGCTGCTGCTCTCTTCAAAAGCTTAAGTTTTTGTGAGGTTTTGATTTAAAGTTTTGAGCTTTAGATTTCCTTTTGTGTGTTTGTGTGTGTTTCAGAGTGTTTAAAATAGTTTAAAGTTTTGAACTTTAGATTCTTGAGCTCCTTTCTTCTTCTTATGTGACTACAAAAGCTTAGTTTTAGTGAGATTTTGATTTAAAGTGTTGAGCTTTAGATTTCCTTTTTTGTGGATTTGAGGGTGTTTTTGAGTCTTTAAATAGTTTAAAGATTTAAACTTTAGATTCTTGATGCTCATTTCTTCTTCTTATGTGACTACAAAAGCTAAGTTTTTGTGGGGTTTTGATTTTGAGGGTGTTTCAGAGTCTATAAAATAGTCTAAAGTTTTGAACTTTAGATTCTTGATGCTCATTTCTTCTACTTATGTGACTACAAGAGCTAAGTTTTTGAGGGGTTGTTGGGGTTTTCAAGAATCTTTGAAATGGTTAAAGTTTTGAGCTTTAGGTTCTTGAAAATGGAGTGGAGGGGGATTTTGTGTTTGGGTTTCTTGGTTGGTGTGTTTCTGTTGTCAGAAGTGACTGCTGCTGCTGTTCTTGTTGAAAATGATAAGCAAGCTTTATTGGATTTTGTTAACAAGTTGCCTCATTTGCACCCTTTAAATTGGGATGCAAATTCTCCAATTTGCAAGAACTGGACTGGAGTAACATGTAGTGAAGATGGTTCTAGAGTAATAGCACTAAGATTACCTGGGGTTGGTTTCAATGGTCCAATTCCTAATAATACTCTTAGCCGTTTAACTGCATTGCAGATCTTGAGCCTTAGATCTAATGGTATTAACGGTACTTTTCCTATGGATTTTAGTAACCTCAAAAACTTGTCATATCTTTATCTTCATTATAATAGTTTCTCAGGTCCTCTGCCTTTGGATTTCTCTGTTTGGAAAAATCTTACTAGTCTCAACTTGTCACACAACAGATTCAATGGCACTATTCCTAGCTCAATTTCTGGTTTGAGTCATCTTAGTTCACTGAATCTTGCTAATAACTCACTTTCTGGTAATGTTCCTGATCTGCATTTGCCTAACTTGCAGCTACTGAATTTATCATACAATAATCTTATAGGTAAAGTGCCAAAATCACTTCAAAGATTTCCAAAGAATGTGTTCATTGGTAATGATGTGTCTTTACTTGACTATACTGTTTCAAATTCTCCTGTTGTTGTTTCACCTCCTGAGCAACCAATTCCAAAATCCAAGAATGATAGGAAATTGAGTGAGAGGGCTTTGCTTGGGATTATAGTAGCTAGTAGTGTAATTGGGATTCTTGGATTTTGTTTCTTGTTGGTTGTTTGTTGTTTTAGAAGGAAAAAAGAAGATGGTTTATTTCCTGGTAAGATGGAGAAGGGAGATATGTCTCCCGAGAAGGCGATTTCGCGGAGCCAAGATGCTAATAATAGATTGGTTTTCTTTGAGGGTTGTAACTATGCATTTGATTTAGAAGATTTGCTTAGAGCTTCTGCTGAAGTATTGGGGAAAGGTACATTCGGCATGGCGTATAAAGCAATATTAGAAGATGCTACCACTGTGGTTGTGAAGAGGTTGAAGGATGTAGGTGCGGGGAAGAAGGAGTTTGAGCAACAAATGGAGGTGGTTGGAAGTATAAAGCATGAAAATGTCGTTGAGCTTCGAGCTTATTACTATTCAAAAGATGAGAAGCTTACTGTCTCTGATTATTTCAGTGAGGGTAGTGTTGCTGCAATGCTCCATGGTATTTCACTTTATGCACTCGCGAAATTTCATAGTTTTTAACTTTTAAACTCTGTCATTTGTTTATGGAATTTGTGAGCATATTCATACTGCTTTATTGTTTGCTTTGAATAGGTATATTAGTTAGTTTTGCAAACATGATTGTTAAAACCAGCTTTTTGCTATTCCGAAAGTGATATCTCACCATCGGACATGTTAAAGGCCAGCCCCGGTGCACCAGGCATCCCGTGATATAGACAGCCTACATTAGTGGCTGCTCCCACGGTTCGAATCCGTGACCTATAGGTCACATGGAGATAACTTTACCGTTGCTCCAAATCTCCCCTTCAACATATAGCAGTCAGAAATGTTAATTCAGTGAACTGAAGAACATAAAGCAATTCAGAAAGGCATAGAATCTTCTAATCTAAAGGCCAACTAATATAATTTGTTGTGTTATGGTAGGGACAGATATGTAAGTGGGAATCCATTGAGGTATATTGTAGGTTCCATATATTCTCTTTCCAGCCTAATAGTTAGTTATACATAAAAAAAGGTGAGATGATCCTAACATGTGGTTTAAGCATCTCTGTGGGGCAGTGAACTCCTTTCTGTTAATAAGATATGCAAAATCCTATCTGTATTTTAAATTCCAACATATTTAACTATACAAATCTTTGTCACTTCTGCTTTGTCACTAGTCTTTCATTTCATCCACTACTTGATTGAACTATTTCATAGCATGTGGATAATCATTTCTGGTTTCTGTTCCCTTTTATGGTAAGTCAAAATAATTCATGATTTTGTCGATAAGCTTACTTTTTTCCTAACTTTTTGTCCATCAAGCAAATATATATGATGTCAAATCTCATGGATAGCTAAGCTTTTTAGATAACTAGTAGGACCTGATTTAATTAAATAGAAGTCTAGAATAGTAAATCCTATGCTATTGTCAACCTTATTCTGTATAGAATCTTTTACGAACATCACGACATAATTCTTTGTGGTTATGTTGCTTTTTTACTCCCCCAATTTTGGTGTTAGAGCTAGGAGTTTTGTTGCTTTTCTCAAACCAAATGGAGTGAAATGATAACTTGTAGAAAGTCAATGGTTATCTCCTTATTGTGTATTTTAGTTAAGCTAACCTAATATTTCATCTGAGTGTAATTGTGTAGCTTTCGACTAAGATGATGAGTTGCGCAATAGATGTTTTAACTATTAAGTTTCATCGACCAATGCATTCTGATTACTCTAATCTTCGGCATGTTATTCAATGATAACTAAAATGAACAAATGAGAAACACAGAGGATTAAACTCCGATCCTTTGCATCTGTTAAAAACCAAATGGTGGTATTTTGGCTCTGATACATGTTATCTCACCTTTTTATCGCCTTTTAAGGCAATTGGTATCTTTGTCATCTCTGTTTGATCACTGTATTACCTGTTATTGAGTATTGTTTTTGTTTCTGGCTCGTTGACTATCATCTATGAATGTACAACTTGTAGGTAAACGGGGAGATAACAGGATCCCTTTAGATTGGGAAACTCGACTTAGGATAGCCATTGGTGCAGCGAGAGGTATTGCCAGGATACATGCCGAGAATGGTGGCAAGCTAGTCCACGGAAACGTCAAATCCTCAAATATCTTTCTGAATTCTAAACAATATGGTTGTGTATCCGATGTTGGTCTGTCATCAATAATGAGCTCGTTAGCTCATCCAGTAGCACGTGCTGCTGGTTTTCGCGCCCCAGAAATAACAGACACCCGAAAAGCCACTCAACCTTCTGATGTGTACAGCTATGGCGTGTTGTTATTGGAACTCCTTACAGGTAAATCCCCCGTCCATACAACGAATGGAGATGAGATTATACATTTGGTCCGGTGGGTTCATTCAGTAGTCCGAGAGGAGTGGACTGCTGAAGTATTCGACTTGGAACTATTGAGGTACCCAAATATAGAGGAAGAAATGGTGGAATTGTTACAGATAGCAATGTCTTGTGTGGTAAGGATGGCTGATCAAAGACCAAAAATGTCCGAGGTCGTTAAAATGATCGAGAACGTTCGACCCACTGGCTTAGACAATCATCTTTCATCTGAAGGCAAAACAGAAAATTCAACACCAAGAGCAGCCACACCTGTGCCTGAGACACAATCTGATACTCAATGAGCTACTCAAGACCATTTTCTTTGTAGCCATTTTTATTACTGTTTACCATCTTAATTCATGTTTAAATGCTTACTTCACTCTCTCAGTGAACAATATGAATACTTGTAACCTGATATTAGTTCATGGTTAGAGTGTACCAAAGATACTATTTTAAGGTATTCTTGAAATTGCACTCTGATTATAAATTCTAAGTTCTCTTTCTCACTCTCAAGATATTTTCTTTTCTATGTTCTTGAGGCAGTGTTCACAAATACATGGTGTGGATGTACAATGAATTCAAGGTCTAGAAAATCTGAAATGTGCGTGCTTTATTAAATATAAAAAGGGCAGCCCGGTGCACTAAGCTCCCGCTATGCGCGGGGTCCGAGGAAGGGCCGGACCACAAGAGTCTATTGTACGCAATCTTACCATGTATTTCTGCAAGAGGCTGTTTCCACGACTTGAACCTATGACCTCCTGGTCACATGACAACAACTTTACCAGTTACCTGCTTTATAAAATATATATACCTGAATTAGGCCCAATGTCCATTTTTCTTACTGTCGAACAAGATATGTTAAGGAATTACACCTCTACCGCTATAATAAATTTCTTCTGACAGTAGGCTTTAAGTGGATTCTATGGATGGTGTGCACAATGGAATCTTGAGCATATATTCATTGTTCTCGACTCGAACTACATATGTGTGTGAAGAATTTACTAGACGTTTATATGCGTCCACAAATAAACGGCACTTAATTCGAACAGTACAAACCAAATTTTTATCTACCTTTGATGATGCAGAGTTGTGATCTAACGAAATAGATGAACTTATGACAATTATCTGAAGGTTCATTTTGTATGAGAAATAGTGGTAGTTTGATATTTTTTGCTAAGAAATTTTTTATATGAACCTTGGGCCTTATATATCGGGCTCTTTAAGTTAGTGTCCAAGATAGGAGTAAAAATAGAACGGTCTAGCCAGTTTTCGGATTGGTCATTCAAAAATAGCCAACGTTTACCAAATCAATAAAAAATAGCCACTATTTTGCTGCAACAGAGACCGGTCCAGCATGAATACTGGAGTTGGGTGCACCTGTGTATGAACTTCTAGCATATTATGCTGGAACTCCAACACACGGAAAGTTCCAGCATAATATACTGGAGATTCGAGCACTTGTGTATGAACTTCTAGCATATTATACTGGACCGATATACTTTGTTGGAACTCCATCATATTATGCTGGAGTTCCAGCATACTTATCTTGGAACTCCAGTATAATATGCTGGAGTTCCAGCATACTTATCTTGGAACTCCAGTATAATATGCTGGAGTTCAAGCATACTAGCGTATTTTTCGGGTTTTGAACAGTTATTTCGCTCAGATTTGTCTTTACACGAAATGTGGCTAAATTTCGATTACTTTTGAAAGTGGACTATTTTTGAACGATCACTTGTAAATCTGGCTATTTTTGAATTTCTCCCAAGATAGGAGAGGGGACCCGTGTTTCACAAAAAGTTGAGAAATTGGCACCATGTGACAACATATAATATGAATTGGCAAATTTTTAGCCTTAGATTAGGTTTGTCAAAGACAGCCCAAAAAAATGGCATTCCATAGCCAAATTCTAGAAAACCCAACTTCCTTATTTATTCTGTCCCATGACTCAACTATATTTGATTTCTGTACGAGAAAAAAAAAAGCACCAAACGCTAACCTCCTTCGTCGACTGCAATTTCAAAAACACTCTCCGCCTCATCACTAATTTGCTATAAACTTGAGATTCATTATTGAGAAAGACAAATCAGATTCCAAACAAACAAAATGATGCTATGAACAATAAGAAGAAGAATATTGCAGAGAAAAGTAGAGAGAGAGAATTCTTATTGATTTGGGATGAATTACAATGGAATAGAAGCCTCTATTTATAGGGAGAGGGTGACTTAGCCACCAAGTAATAAACCCTAGAATCTCTCTAAATATAGACATTCACCATAAATACAATTCTATTTATAACACTCGCCCTTGAATGTCTATTCAATAGATAATGTGCCTCGTCAAAACCTTAACTAAAATAAAACCCAGTGGAAAAAAATTCTAGAGAAGGAAAAAGAGTACACATATCTAACAATACGCCTTTTGGTTGCCTCGTTAAAAACCTTGCAAGGAAAACCCAGTGGGACAAAACCTTGTAAAGGAAAAAGAGTACAACGCGTATTAACTCCCCCTGATGAGAGCATCAATTCACATCCTCAAGCATTTGCATTCCAATCTTGTGCACCATCTTCAAAAGATCTTTGGTAGATATTTGATAAACAATATCAGCCATATTAACTTCAACGAATTTGTTTCACCTTGATATCATCATCCCTAATAGATGTATTGTCTTATGATCTTGTTGGAATCATCATTTCAATATCTTCACATAGAGGTGAAAACTCTTGCTATCATATTATCATGCATATAGTTATAACAAGATACATTTGTGCACAAATTGCACTGAGGATGTAGTGCTTCATGACCATGAATTCTCTATGCTTTAAGCAATTTAAATCCTTCAGGGATTGTTAAGTCATATAAGCCATATAATAGACTTTAGATGCATATCAGGTTTTCATGTCATGCTAGACATATAAGATATCGAAAACTGATTGCACATACCATTGACTTTATACTTTCAAGTGTTTGAACTACATGTTCAAAACTACATGTCTTTCATATGAAACCAATTCTATTCGAAATTGTTTCTCCAGACTTAAGATCCTCATATATATATTTAGCGCTATCATAGATGTCGTCGACAAACATTTTATATCAGTTTCAATATTTTTTCATAAAGACATAACATAGAGATCCCTTCATTCATATTTTCAGGTACCTGAATCTCTCATAAGATTTTATGAAGTGTTATGTCATGTGATCTTCTAGATCACTTGCCTCCTTTATTATGATCATTTTGATCATTTGCTCATCTTCTTTATCAAGAAGTTTATTTGAAACCGATTGTCTATACACTTTAAGCTTACCATAGACTTTGACCTTCTAGGACTTAATAGGAGCATTTGCAATGAGAATATAGTTACTTTCTTTGGGTCAGCAAATGCGTCCAGCATGCTTTGCAATAAATTGCAAATGAATTATCCTTTTATGAACTTCAAGTTCATATTATTTTATTCGGGGATCTAGATGTATAAATGATAATTCATTCCATGTAACTTTTTCTCAACTGTTGTATCTTGTCTCCCCTTCATGTTAGAAAAACTAACTTGTTTCCTCAACTTTGAGAACCCATCTTTGTGCGTTATGGTGTTAATCAAAATATACACCGCACATCAATAATAATAAGATGGAATTATTTGGTTCCTGACCTTGAACCACTTGTGAGGGGAGAACATAATATATTTTGGTATATAACGTATATCAAATTGATATAGATAACTTTGTTCTCATAAACAATTGTTTAGCTATTAAGTGGAGGCACTCAATAAATTATTTTGCTAAATCAACTGTGATGTAAACCAACTTATCAAGATGAACTTCTTGAATTGAAAATCTGGAAATTATGCTCGAAATTAAATTATTGAGCAAGTTACCTCGCAAAACACCATGTTGCGGGTTATTAATAATCGCACATGTAACCATCTCATAGATGCATCTTATGTGATATACATGGCAGATGAATGGGCCCATATTCACCTTTGATATTTCCAGCATTCATGGGATTCAATCCCAATTTTAATTGGTATATTAATTAATGAGAACAGGCACTTTCTAGTTCTTTAATATTTACCCATGTGAATTCTCTTTTATTTTTGCACATCATACTTAAATTGATATGGGTAAACCAATTATGCCAACTGAATAAATTATCAATATTGATAAACTTCAAATTTACACCATGACGTGAGCAATTATCAATAAACTCCAAGTTTATTATGATATGGGTTTTTATATCAATAAACTTCCTTTTATTGTGGCATTCTTTTGTTTGTGTAGTACAAACTGGAGAATAAAGCGGGTAGCTTTTTACATATATATTACCCCGCTACAAGTTGTAGTAATAGAAGATATTAAATCTTTCCTTTATTTATAGTCTCAATATAATCAATCGCTTTCGCGTATACTTTGGAAACTGAATAAGTTTCTTTGAGACTTACTACAACACAATACCTTATTGGTAATCAATTTTGTTTCTCCAAAATAGTATAATTGGCTCTTGCAGAGTTCTCAATTAATTTTGTAGTACCACATATTCATCAACATCCATATGGTGAATATCTCTTTTAAAGAGAAAGTTATACCATTATGGTTATAGTCAAAATTATGTGCAAGATATGTTTCTTGCATTACCATTGTCTTTTAATAATCACAATGCCAAAATATTTTGGCGTACAATAAGTACGTGATCAATGACCATTTATGCCATAATAATGATATTATTTTCTTATTTCCCCTCAAACCTCCTTCTAGAGGTGAGCGTGATATATTCACTACCACTAGCACGTTCATATTCCTCAAAGAATGAATATGTATTCATAAATCAGATGTTGTCACATTCACATCATGAATGGACCATAATCATCTATATGTGCTTTATAAAATCTCATGTCAAATCGATGACAAATATTACTTTCAGAGAGTGAAGGATTATTTTGAGAATCCTTATTATTCTCATTATCACAATGATTACGATTATAATTTCGTCTATTGCCACGTCCACATCCATTGATACCTTCATGGTAATAATTTTGTCTTCTTTCAGACTTATCACATATTGCTATCACATTCTCTTAAGGGAATGAGAATGGAGCAAATTCTATGGGACGGATTTTTAATTCTTTGCCCACTGTCATGGCAAAGGATAAGTATTTTACCACTTTGGGTGTTTATAGTTTCTTACTAACTCCACTAGAGTTATAATCAAAATTTATTGTCTTTGCTCGTATTTAAAATCAAATTATAGAATGTCAAGAATCTAAAAGAGAAAAATAAAGTAAAATACTTACCTTAAATCCAGAATTTAATCATGAAGGAAGTTCATGGAACAATTGACAACCATTATGCTCCATCCCAAAACTTCTACTCAATTGGTTAGAGTCACGTGCTGATAACGTGTTATAACAAATGCAGAATTTTTTTTTATATTAAAAAATGCAGATGTATGCTTACACGTATATGCACATGTATCATATATTTGGGGTCAATCCTTTTTTATGGGTGGATTCATCCTC